AAGTGGAGGAGTGTGTCTGGGGTACTGCACGATAAATGAGTACCCGCTAGACTAAAAAAAAAGTTCTATAGAACGGTTATTAGACCAGCGATGTATAGAACGGAACGTTAGGCAACTAAGAAACAACACGTAGATAAGATGAATGTTGCTAAAATGAGGATGCTAAAGTGGATGTGTGGCAAGACTAGAAAAAACAAAGTTAAGAATGAATATATTCGTGAATGGGTAAGAGTAGTACTGATAGAAGATAAGTTGAGAGAGAATAAATTGAGATGGTTTGGTCATATATAATGGAGACCAATAGATGCAGTAGGGAAAAGATGCGATACAGTGATGATAGATGAAGTGTCAGGGGAAGGAGCAGACTTAGATTGACGTGGGCTAATACACAGTTGTCAAATTAGGATTCGAATTGTGAATCGTAAAGATTCGATCACTTTTTCTAAATTGCTTAGAAAAATATTTATACACACTTAAATGTTAAATATATCTTATGAATATGAAATATTTAGAATTAAATCAATGAAAATGTTGTTTGAATGATGATCACATAGTTCAATAGGTAAGAAGTTAACAAAGGTTCCCATGTAAGATTGCCATCTTACATTTTTTCCTTTTTTAGATATTTCTTATTAACCATTCTTAACAAAGACAGTAACCAAATAGACAAACTATCAATTTCCAAAGTCACAATAATTAACAACAATATTGACATTTGGACAATAAATATACATACTTTTCCAAGTAACAATGACCAAATAATATGAAAGAATTATTTAGGATCTTTTATTTTAAAGCCTAAAACATTTTAAAAGATATAACTGACATCACCCATGTAATATTCAGCTATATACAATTTAATAAAATAGCAATAGATAATTCATGATGTAAGTTACTTTAATCTTAAACATTTTTAGAAGATATATTATGATTTTTTAAAGGAAAAAAAATGAGAAGAAATATTAGAACATGTTAGGTATGACTAAATCTAATTGAATCCTATTAAAAACTCTCTGATCACTAAAATGACAACAAATCATGTATATATATTGGTTATTTTGGTATTAAACGATTAGTTGCGTTATGTCATTTTCACTAAAAGATAGAAAAAAAAAGGTCAAAAATATGTTGGATACAATAATTTCAAGAGTTGTATGAATCGTAAAAAGTGAATCGATTGTGAATCGTGTGATTCATTAGAGATTCACTTCCAAAAGAGATTCACCCATAGATTCATATCGATTTTGCAAAAATTGTGAATCGAATCGTGAATCGTAAGATTTTGATAACAAAGGGCTAGTATAGTAAATAGAGATGAATCTCTTTAATTTGACTAACCAAATGACCGTTGATAGAGTCGACTGGAGAAGAATGATTCATATAGCCGACCCCATTTGATGGAATTTAAGGCTTGATTTGGTTTGGTTAACATATGTACTCGCAATGTTTTTGCCGGAGTTGAGAGGCTATATAATGGGGGGATGTGGGTTAATTGAAATGATTTCATTGTTGTTTACTATGGTGTTGATATTGACTTCCCATTATCCTTCAATTTTATGAGATGAGCTGTTTTTTTTACTCATTTCTTCTTGACAGCTTCGTGTCTTCGATGGTTAACGTGTTTGGTGATGATGCAAGACTTTCACAAATCTTGATAATCATTTTGTTATGACTACCAATCAGTCTATTGCTTTGTAAAAGGGCATGGTCTTAGAAATGGAATAATAATATAATAAAAATATATAATTTCACATTTAGTTAAGAAAATTGAAGTTCGGACTAGTAGTTGACTCAGACGTGGTATCTCTCATACATGGAACCTATTTAATCCAAAAAAGAGGGTGGGATACAAAACAAGTGATTACGGAGAGATTCAGACTAATAGGGTAAATTAAAAAATTGATATGATTTTGCCAATCCTTCCTTATAATTCTAGGTCAATCCAAATGTGAGATATGATAAACAATTGAAAGAGGTTGACAATCTCATCTAATGTAGCCCCCAAACAAACTTGATCCAAAGTTATTTGAGGTTCAATGGATTTAGACAAATCCTCAAGGAGTTAGCTTAGTGGTAAGTTAAGTAGTGATTAGCGCTTCAGAAAGTGTAATTCACAAGTTCGAATTTCATGGAACACTTGATCCTCTGCTCCACAAAAAATCAAGGAATCATCCGCATACAACAAATGAGACATACCAACTAAAACCCAAAAGAACCACCCACCATGAAGCCTTCCACCAAACCCCATGCACTGCCCTAAATAATAATCTACCCAAGGCCTCCATAAACAATATAAATAACAATGGTGACAAAGGATCCCCTTGCCGAAGACCCCGATACGTTGGGAAGAAACCCTCTGGTGTGCCGTTCACCAATCCACACAGTACACACACAAAACTCCATCCACCGGCACCACGCCGCCGCCAAAACCCATGCGACCCATAACATAAAGTAAATACTCCCAATTTACATTGTCATAAGCCTTCTCAATGTCCAACTTACAAACCAATCAAGGGCGCCCGTCCCGAATCCGAGAATCAACACATTCATTAGCCACTAGAACTGCATCCAAAATATGACGAACCCCTACAAACGCATTATGAGATTTTGACACCACATCCTGCAAGACACCTAAGCCTATTAGCCAAAAGCTTATCACACTCCCAAGTAAACTGATGGGCCTAAAATCCCAAATATCCTCAACCCGCCTTTTCTTCGGAATCAAAATAAAAAAAATCGCATTAAAGCTCCTCTCAAACTGCCTAGTAGTAAAAAAGACTCAACCACCACCATCACATCCTCCTTAACCACACTCCAACAATGCTGTAAAAAAAGCCATTGTAAACCCGTCTAGACCTGGAGCCATATCCCCACTCATAGCCTTCAATGCCCCAAGCACCTCCTCTGTAAAAGCCTGCTCCAAGGCCTCCTTATCCCTGTCCAAAATCACATCAAACAGAACTCCATCCATACCTGGCCACCACTCCTTGCCTTGCACCAGAAACAGCCTCTGATAAAAGACCACAATCCCCTCCCTAATCTCCTTATTAGAATTTAGATCCCTCCTATCCACCCGTATCATAATCTGATTAGCCCGACGATGGGCATTGGCCATCCTATGAAAATTTTTTGTATTCCAATCACCCTCCTTCAGCCACAAGCACCTAGACTTCTGACGAAAACACGCCGCCTCCATACGGGACAAATGAACAAAGTCCTGCCTGACCACCTCCTTTCAAATCACATCATCACTGGACAACCCCCATGAGCCTCCCGATCATCTAAAGACTGTGAAGACACCATCACCTCTGCCTTCTGAATCTCCACTCGAACAAAGACCTTATTATTTCAACATTTCAAAACCCAAAAGCATGAAATTTATCATTCTGAAGCTGTAGGAAGTAAAGAAAGCTCCATGAATTCCATTTTTATAGAAAAGATTGGGACATTTCCAAATCAAAAGCTTGAATCAATGAAAACAATTCTCCAAACTTATCTTCTCCCATTTTTCTTCCCAAATCCATTTTCAATACAAATTTTACCAATCAAAGGATCATAAAGTCATGTACGAGAATGAATTTTTCCCTGAATCAAGCTAGAAACTATTCTAGGACAAGAAATTGAGCTTTTTCTCTTTTTCTTATTTTCCCTCTCTTCTCTTCTCTTTATTCTTTCTTTTTTTCTTTTCAGCAAATTTCTCTCTTGTTTTTGTTTGTTTTATTTTGTAAAGTAAAACTCCTTGGTAGTGTGTATACCATATGCGCTTTGTTACACATTTTTTTTGGGTACATGTTACACATTTTTTATGGCAAATGTTACGTAATCTTTTGATAGAGCTACAACAATTTGTAGTAAAAAAATGAAATTACTCATGTGGTGGTTAAAAAATGTTTAGATGAAAAAGATGCATAACATTATATCACAAAATGCGTTACTTTATTTCTGAACCACAAACTGTTGCAACTCTAATAGAAAACGTAACAATTGCCACAAAAATGTGATACATGTACCCAAAAAATACATAACGAGGTGCATATAAGGGGATGTGTATTGAAGGGTTTCTCCTTCATAAAGAGACACTCGTCTCTATAATATACTTATATATCTACACTAAGTAGGACATGTGCCTACTTCATGCCAACTAATCACAAGATTAAGTTAGGTTAGACCTAATCATACTTCAGTTGATTAATCTTGATTAGACTTAATTACTAATAATCCCAATTAGTTTTTCACAAAACACATGAAATTTTCTAGCACATTAGACCAATACAATTAAGCACCTTAATTAAGAATTTAAGAGTACACATGAGCATACCTTGTTCAAATGAGAATTTTCTCAATCTTAGACCTCTAAACTTCAATTCATTTCATATCAAGGCATACTACAAAGCATCACAAATATCAAAGAGACTAATTCAACTTAAAGCACTCAAACATGGAATAAAAACATGCATATTGCATGCAATAACACTAAAGGTGTTCCAAGCTGTGAGTGAGTTTTGGTAGCCACCAAACCACTCATACAGCACATACATTCAGCACCTTTGTACACAAAATATTAGTTGGTCATTAATTGCCTAGTCAAAAGCCAAAAAGGAAGCATTTTAATTGCTACCAGAATAAAGTCCCCACACTTTGAAATTTGTATGTTTTGACAAGTTAATAGCGCATCACAAAACTAAGAGACAACAGAATAGGATCACCAACCAAAATGTATAAACTACAAGGTAACCACCCTAACCAAAAATAATATTAATAATGAGAATTTATGATAATTAGATCTGTTATATCACACACACAGACACACATATTCTACAATTTCCAGGATTAACAATTGATAAATTGTCAAAATATAAAAATGTCAAATGGCACAATTTTTTGAATCATTTGTCTTCAATAAAAATATACTAAAATTGGCTTCCATGATTGCTTTTCTTTACTTTGAATGATAAATGAATACACAGCAAAAGGAAAATTTAAACTGTTTTAACACTCACCTCTAGAATAATGCTGAACCTACTAGGCAATAATTTTGAAAACCTCCCTTTGGATGGCAAAAACTTGTTTGCTTGGTAGGTAAAAACTTATTCCCTACTTCATCTGTGGAGGTCTCAAGACCACAATCATGGCAGAAGGATTCCACATCTGATTCCTAAAGAACACATGACCACGAATGTTCCAAGACCGCAAATACAAGTTGACATTTATACAACACAAATCAAAGAACCAATGCCAAAAAATACAAATTTTACCTTCATCATCAATAGTTTGGATAGGTCTGCCAGTGGATATGGATGGAGCTTGTAACCTCCAAAATTCACACAGGACACCGCCAATACTCGAATCTTTTATATATTCAATAAAGATGCAAACAAGAACACAAAATGCTGAATCAGTTATACTTTTCGTAACAAGTGCACACTTATTGTGCAAAGTACTACATCCTTCTCAAGCATACAATCAGAACTAAATCAGTAAAGTTTAATTAGCAAACCAATTTTTTATTAAATTATAGACTGAACATCACTGTATGCATGAGCAATCAACAATTAAAATAAACGTAGAGAGATGTATCTGGGAAGACAAAAAGGACAGGAAATAGACACACACACACAAAAAAAAAAAAAACAAATTGACACTGGCATCCACTGATAAAATTAAACACAAGATGGTGAATCAATGTTTGCCGCATTCAGAACCAACAAAATAATCTGGGGGCACATGGATGGTGACCTTATAAAAAATTAAGAAATTCTCATCAAATTAGTCTTAGTATGCCACATGAAAAGGCTTAAAAGGGTCAATGATGGATTAAAAGTTGCTACATCTTTTTGTATTGAAGTACAAATCAACAGATCAAAGTCAAGTGTCAATAGAGATAAAAGTTTACCTCAAGTTTGGTGACTTAGTTGTAAACATTTTCAAGTGAAAGAAGGCCTTAGAGTTCATAGCTTGGAAGGGACTCTATTGCATGGACCTTTAGGATACATTTTTAATTAATCATGTTGATTATCATGCATATTCATTATGGTTGAGTATTGTTTAGGATTGTGTTATTGTGTGGGCTATTTGTGTTCCACTTGGTATATTTCTGGTGTTGGTAGAACTAGTTTTGCCCATTTTATATTTTGGCATGTCACTAGATTGAGCTTTGGCTTATTTATGACATTAGACTATAATAATTGCAATCATTTAGTAATTGATTGTGGATTCTTGTTTAGCCTTACATGTGTGCCTTGGGATAAGGCCATGTGGGCCGTGCCAATCGCACCAGGAATTTGTGGTGTGACACGAATACACCACCTCAGCCATTCCAAATAAACATAAAGTTCTCACTAGCTAATGGAAAGAATCTGCTAGGCATCACAAAAACAAAACTAAAAAATATGGAAAAATCCTTTTTACCTCCTTGTGGTTTAGCTTAGGAGCACTTTACCTCCCTCTCATTAAAAAATATGCAATTCATCTTCATGTGTTTTGGGACTAAAATGCACAATTAACTCTGCTAACAAAAATTGCAAAATGATTTTAACACCTCCCTCGTATTTGTCTGACACTGTAAGATCCAGTCAAAATCATGGTTAAAGACAAGACCCTTACTGCATCACATGATGCCTATTCGACTTTTCATTTCAATTTGATTTTTGTATGTATGGACATATATAAGTGTTTGTGTTTATGTATATTGTATAGTATATTGTGCATATATACAATATTTTGTCTGTATGGATATGTATAAGTGCCGTGTCTATGTTCATTGTTGATCTGCATCGCACTGCTCTCTTTTCTATAAATCTTGCTTTGCTCATGATTGTTTCTTGGGCATTGAGAACCCAACATGAGGTGGAGAGGGCATGAGAGAGTGGCAGCAAGGTGGTGGGATGGCAGGTGGTTGGAGGTGATAGGGGTGGTGTTTAGAGAAGGTAGGTGAGTTAGGGACAGAGCTTTTAAGTTAGGGTTTCCGAATGAGGAAGATGATGAAATGGAAAAATTATTATTTTACACTAAATTTGACTAACTTATTATTTCATTTTACGACAACTCTAAAAATCTATGTATGTGGCACAATTTCTATCAATTTAAATGAAATTAGTAATGGTAGGGACTATGACGCACGGACACGCAAATTTTAAAAAAATTGGAGACATGACACGCTGGGGACACGTTCAATATATATAATTTTTATTTATTTATTATGTCTAAAATTTAAAAATATATATATATATATATATATTATTGGAAGATAATTAATAAACACAATACCCCATGTTGATTATCATGCATATTCATTATGGTTGAGTATTGTTTAGGATTGTGTTATTGTGTGGGCTATTTGTGTTCCACTTGGTATATTTATGGTGTTGGTAGAACTAGTTTTGCCCATTTTATATTTTGGCATGTCACTAGATTGAGCATTGGCTTATTTATGACATTAGACCATAATAATTACAATCATTTAGTAATCGATTGTGGATTCTTGTTTAGCCTTACATGTGTGCCTTGGGATAAGGCCATGTGGGCCGTGCCAATCGGACCATGAATTTGGGGTGTGACACAAATACACCACCTCAGCCATTCCAAATAAACAAAAAGTTCTCACTAGTTAATGGAAAGAATCTGCTAGGCATAAGAAAAACAAAACTAAAAAATATGGAAAAATCGTTTTTACCACCTTGTGGTTTAGCTTAGGAGCACTTTACCTCCCTCATTAAAAAATATGCAATTCATCTTCATGTGCTTTGGGACTAAAATGCACAATTAACTCTGCTAACAAAAATTGCAAAATGATTTTAATACCCTCCCTTGTATTTGTCTGACACGGTAAGATCCAGTCAAAATCATGGTTAAAGACAAGACCCTTACTGCATCACATGATGCCTATTTGACTTTTCATTTCAATTTCAATTTGATTTTTGTATGTATGGACATATATAAGTGTTTGTGTTTATGTATATTGTATAGTATATTGTGCATATATACAATATTTTGTCTGTATGGATATGTATAAGTGCCGTGTCTATGTTCATTGTTGATCTGCATCGCACTGCTCTCTTTTCTATAAATCTTGCTTTGCTCATGATTGTTTCTTGGGCATTGAGAACCCAACATGAGGTGGAGAGGGCATGAGAGAGTGGCAGCAAGGTGGTGGGATGGCAGGTGGTTGGAGGTGATAGGGGTGGTGTTTAGAGAAGGTAGGTGAGTTAGGGACAGAGCTTTTAAGTTAGGGTTTCCGAATGAGGAAGATGATGAAATGGAAAAATTATTATTTTACACTAAATTTGACTAACTTATTATTTCATTTTACGACAACTCTAAAAATCTATGTATGTGGCACAATTTCTATCAATTTAAATGAAATTAGTAATGGTAGGGACTATGACGCACGGACACGCAAATTTTAAAAAAATGGGAGACACGACACGTTGGGAACACGTTCAATATATATAATTTTTATTTATTTATTATGTCTAAAATTTTTTAAAAAATAAAAAAACAATCATTGGAAGGTAATTAATAAACACAATACCCAAAAGATTTTGATAAAATTTGATTTTTTTTTCTTCAAATAAAATAAAACTAATTTGTTCTATGCATTTCAAGTTCAGCAAACAAGGATACCCAAAAGTTAGAAAGAAAAAAGGGAGGGGGGCGCTACTCAGAAGAGGAAAAAAAAAACCCCGAAAACAAAGAACCAAGAGGAGAGAAACGAAATCAGAAAAAGAAAAGAAGAAAAACGAAGTAAAGAAAAGAGAAGAAGAGAGAAGCAGGATCAAAGAGAAAAAGAGAGAAGCATAATCGAGGAGAAGATGAAGAAAAACAAAAGAAGTTTCTTCGATCGACCTCTTTGAACAACTTCAGGCCTTCGATCGACTTCTGATTCACCTCTTTGAACAATTTCAGGGCTCACTCTCTCTCTCTCTCCCCCCCTTCCAACTGGTTAGGGCTTCTTTAATCACCTCTTCTCTATTTCTCAAGTTTATTTTTCCTTGCGTGTCCTCACGTGTCCAAGGCACGTCTTGTAGAGTGTTTGACACGTGTCCACCGCATGTTAGTGTCCAACACGTGTCGGACACTTGTACGCTGCCTTCGGAGAGGTGTTTGTGCTTCATAGGGTAGGGAGATAGAGTGCAAGATGGGTCAAAACCACATGAGAGCACTTTGCATATATTTAAATGTGAGGAGAGTAAAGTGCTCTAGGCCAAAATCAGAAGATGGTAAAGAGGATTTCACCCCAAAAGATAAAGAAAAAAAATTAAAAGATGTGATAGACCAAACTACAATTGTAACACCCTAGGTGTTTTTTAATGGCATTAGCATATCTTTCATTTCTTGAAAGCCTAGGAGTTAAATTTGCTTTCTTTGCTATATGAAATGCTAGAAGCATGGCATATCAATTGTCTTAAGAAATATAATTTGCTATGCTATATTTCCTACGAGCTTCTTATATGATTTGTATCTCTATACATTATTTTTTATTTTTTATTTTTATATGAAATGGATTAGGATTTAGAGATGCAAGATTGAGAGATTCTCTTTTGAGCATATTTTAGTTTGGTTTTGGGAGATAAATTTTCAAAATATTTTTGGAGAGTTTAGAAATTTTTTTGGTTTGTTTGGTTGTATATTTTAGAAATAGTTTTGGAGTATGGGAGTTTGGGATGATTTGATATTTTGTTGTAGTTGATTAGATGTGTGTGAGAGAAAAAGTGATTGGGAAGGAGAGATGAGAGAGAAAAAGTGATTGATTGATGTGTAAGAGAGAGAAAGTGATTTTGGAAATTTGTTTTCCAAAATCAGTAAACCAAACAAAATTTAAAAAAAATTTCTCCAAAATTACTCTCTCAAAAGCAAACCAAACAAGGCCATTATGTTTATACATGCTTTCAATCCCTTAATCAAGGTGCTTAATTATCATAGCCTAATGTTCCTGAAAACTTGAAGTTTGAAGGCATTGTACATATTCAGCTTTTAAATTCTCTTTTATGTTTAATTTTATACTCCTTTTGTAACTAAGCCTGGGATGGTTGTTATTATAAATCAAAAGTGAGACAGATGCTTGTGAGATAGTCACTACTCCATCTCTGTTGGGGTGGGATAGGGTCATGACAACAATGTTAATTGAGTGTCACAGAAACCAAGAACTAGGCATTTTGGATAAATCTTTGATAAATGAAAAAAGCACAGAGGGCTGCTCACAGATATATCACTATACACAGAGAGAGAGAGAGAGAGATTGAAAACAACCTTGTTAATGTAAGGTTCAATTATGCAATATTGCAAATAGGATGCTTCAGCTGCTGTAGTACAGATGAAGCGCTTGTAATTGCCAAAACGATAGTATCTGTTTCAAATATAAGTAGATAATATGACAAAATCCTTTAGAAAAAAAACAAATGTAGCATTGCTTGAGTTTATTAAAAATAAAACTACCCCTCAAGGCATTACTAAAATGCAAATAGACTAGCAAAGATGTCATAAGAGCAGTAGTTTTAGGGAAATTCCATTTGCACACCACTAGTTGTCTCAGTACACACCACTTGCTTAGTTCACACCACACACAAATTAATTTTTTTTGATATTTTCTCAATACACACCATCAATTTTCAAATATTACCAAATTTCCCTCATCTTCTCCAACAAACCCTAACCCTAACCACCGCCACCGCCAGCTACCACCCCTCCTTGTCGTAACACCCTTCCCCCACAACCCTCCCCTCCAGTCATAACCCCCTTCCCAGCCCCCTCTCCCCTCCTGTCGTAGTCACTCTCCCCATCCCTCCTTCACCAACTCTTTCTCCTTCTCCTTTTTCACCAGAGCTCCTCCCTCGTCGTCCTCCACTGCATTTTGAAGTTGTTGCAGGAGTGACCGCAAAGGGTGCCATTGGGAGGGGGTTGGCTCACAGTTGTGTAGGGTGTTGACGGTGGTAGGGGCTGGGGAGATGGGGTGACTGCAGTGGGGGGCTGGTGAGGAGGTGGTGATGCTGGGACAATGGTGGGGCCTGATGATGATGATGATGGTGATGATGGTGGTGGTGGTGGTTGTGGAGGTGGTCGGCAGTAAGGGAGAAGGTTGTAGCATTGGCAGTGTCTGTGGCTGTGGTGGTGGTGGTGGTGGTGGTGGTGGTTGGCAGTAAGGGAGGAGGTTGTAGCGTTGGCAGTGTCTATGGCTGGTGGTGGTGTGTACTAAGAAATTAGGTTTCAGGATTTTGTCCAAAAGAGTAATTTGTTTGAGGGATAAAACTTTTTTAACTATTTTTTTTTGAAAGATGACGTGTATAGAGATGGCATGTATAGAGATGAGTAGGTGGCATGCAAATAGAATTTCCCATAGTTTTTTTTTTTTTTTTTTGATAAATCAGAATTTCCCATAATTTTAATGCTACCTTAAAACTATTCGGGCGAAACACATTTCCTTTGATTTTATAATGGGAGAAGCAACATGGCAAAACCAGAATGATAGTGACTCCCCCTGCCAAATACAGAGAAGATATATTTAGTGAATTCAGGACCTAGCACAAAACTGCAAAAAAAATAAAATAATAAAATGAAATGAACTGGCAGAATTAACCACAGGAATTAAAAGAAAGCTGAACCATTGGCTTGTTGTCACAACCAAGATGAAGAAGCACGTAAAGTGAACGGAATTCAGCTTCATTCTCATAAATGGAGTGGATATTTTGATTTGCTTCATAAAGATGATATAGAGAAGTCAGAGCCTTCGTAAGCTGTTCCATGTTGAGATAATACTTTGAAGAAATATTTGGACTGTCACTACATCTTCGAAGCTTGTGGTGCGATATGACATGAAATTTAACCTGTATAATGAAACATATTGTAAGTCTGGGTTCATAAATGTGCATAGCTGAAGTACCAAAAAAAAAAAAAAAAATTACTTATAATAAATAAATAAATAAACAGGTTTGATGTATTGTAGCTTGAAGATTCATAAAGACGTGATTTTCAGGTATGGTGCATTTTGGTATCCTGTACAACAATATGCACAACTTTTAACACAGCCTCAACAACAGAAGGACAAAAAGAGCCTAATGAAAATTTTCAAGGAAATATCAAACAGTTAACAAAATAGAGTTGAACGTTTTATCAGAAGAAAACCTGTTAAGTTGTGTCCTGCAGTTCAGCAGAAACAGCATTAATATCTGTAGTTCCTTATTTATAAAACTTTTAGGCAGTTTTGAAAGAACAGAATCTATCAAGTTTTAGGAGCAAGCATGACAAAACACATCACAGAAAAAAGAAAATAAAGAAACTGAACTCACACTTGAGACTGCAGCACAAGAACCAATCCTCATGGAAAATTCATGATATGACCACTTCCACAACAAAAATAGCAAATGCGAACTTATCAAAGATGTTATCATCCTTTACCTCACCTATAGTCACACCAAAAAAAATTTCAGTTCCCAAATCTTTGATCCTGTTAATCATTAGACTCTGCAAGGCAGCCTTTGACAAACTTGTGTTGGAACCAAGATGCAGACGTGTCAATATTTACATTAGGTCTCGACTCTCAACATGTCCAAACATCACCAAACATAGGCAATGTTGTCTATACATGACTATTGCATAGTCAAAAAGGAAATTACCCAATGTTGGTCCTGCAATAATGGGTGATGGGGGAGTTTTTTCCGTTTTATAAGTTTAGGCATCAAAGGGGATGCAATCTGTGTACAAAAGGTTAGACCATGATAACATGAAGCATTCAAAACAAAAGAGGTCTATACACTCAAAAAAGAAAAGGCCGATAACTCTTTACGTCTGTAGAAAATCTAAAAAATCAACAAATTGATCAAGGCTAGGTGTAACTCTCAAGAAATCCAATTATATGAAGTAGCCAGAAATAACTTTTGAGCCTAATGAAAAGCTCCTCCACTCCTTGAAAGGTACTCCTATTTCATTCCCTCCATAACAGCCACAGCAAGTACAATGAAGAAAGCACCTTCCGCCTTTGCCTCATGACCCGACCTCCCCACCACTCAAACATAACCCCTGAGACATCTCTAAGAAATACCCACCACATGCCGAACAAAGACAAAACCAAAGTCCAAAACTCCGTCACCACGTCACAATGAATGAGCATATGACAGACTCTCTCCTCATCACACTACTAAAAAGCACCAATTTACTATATCTGACATTTTCTAATAAGATTATCAATGGTGAGAATCTTCAAATAAGCTGCATTCCAAAAAAAGAAAGCCAATTTGAACAAGGCCCTTACAAACCAAACACCTTTCCAAGGGAAAGTCACCCCTACTCTTCCCCTCAATAAAGCTTCACAGAGGGACGTGACATCAAATCTCCAATTCCTATTTCCAGGCCACAGGCCACAACAACGAATCACCCTCTCCAATGCCCCTAAACTCAAATCCCAAAAGACATCAGAGACCACTCTCAGAATGTAGTTCCCCATTGTGACTTCTGTATCAACAGCCAAAAAGATGGGAGGGAAGACTCTCCACAATTACTCACCACCACACCTGTGATGCCAAAACATCACCCTCTCACCTCTCTGCCTGCACCTGACAAGTATCAAAAAAAATCATCCCATACTAACTAAATACCATTCCAAACCCCCCTCCCCCATGAGAGGTAGAGACCTCTAATGTCGTCCAATCACCCCACAAAGAACCATATTTTTCCGCCACCACCCACCTCCAATATATATCCCTCTCACAAGAAAAACAAGACAACCACTTCCCCTCCCACTTACCAAGGAATCCCCCATCTGAAGGGAGTTATCTCCCTTCTCACTCTATCCTCCGTCAGGCCATAAACCTTTGAGAAAACCAAATAAAACACATCCCCCATACATCTAAATAAGCAAGAGACAGAGAACAAGCCCACCTCCTCCTCTATTTCCCCCACTGTCCTATCCCATAACAACAAAATGCCCCTACATGCTTTTCACGAATTCAACCATCAAATCTTCTATTTTTGTTTCTTGGACATACACTGCATCCGCCATTCAACCTTGAAGGAGAGATTTCACCCCCAACCCCTTATCATCCACACTCAACCCTCTCACTTTTCAACGGATAATGTTAATCGTCATTTGACAATCACCAAAGAACCCCTTCTCCACCTGCTCCCAACACTTTGGGAGGGTAGACTACATCTAGATCAAACTCACAAATTAAATGCACAAAGAGGTTGTCTTCAAACTTGTTCCCAGGTTTGAAGACACAGAGCAGTATTACGAGCTCGCTACACTTCCTTATAGGGAGGCTGTCTTCTTGGGACTGATGAGCTCCTCTTTCATTCTAAGGTCTAACGAAGGGTCTATTCTCATTCAAAAGAGCAGGACTGGGATCACCGAAAAAAGAGAAAGATGAAGCACAGCATAGAAAGGGCTGAAAAAGAAAGGAATTTCGCCCACAATTTATACCGAGACCACTAGGCTTGTCAAGCCAAGGCAGGTCTATTCTATTCAAAGCCACCACTTCCATAACCTCAAATCCTAGGAGCGAGACAAAGTAGACGGGGATACTCACTCGACTCTTAATCCGAGTAGACGGAAGACCAAATAAAAGTTCCATAGGCGATTGCTTAACCCGTGCTTGTAGTCCTTCTTTCTAATAGAGATGAGACTCACATGCACCCACTGCTTGTTCTAAGGTGAAAGAGCTTTCTAGTCCTACCCGCTTAAGCCCGAATGGTAGAAGGAATCAATGGGCGGAATAGCAGAAAATCTATCTTCAATAGGAATTGCTACCCTTGGTTCATGGGTTCCCTTCTGCTGGATTTCTTTCTCTTCTAAATGAAAAGAAAAGGTTAATGCTCAAGCCACTTTCAGTAAGCTGCTTTAGTTAGAGCTTGCTTGAGTTCGCTCCAGCCTTTGCTGTCCAGAGGGGATGAAATCTGTCTTGAATTAGAGTACCAGGCCAGGTCTTCGGGTTGCTGGTCTTCCGGTCTTGCTGCATCCGTCTTCGCGCTTGCTTCAACGAAGTAAAGTCACTAAAGAGAGCCTGATTGAACTCTTTCATCTTACTAAACTAAGGGGCCTTTCGCTTCACTTTTCATTTTAGATTATATAGGATATTTATAGGGCATCCATTACCACTAGATTCCATTAGAGACCTCCTTACTATTAGACAGGCATCTCACTTGGCTTCCAATCCATTTCGATCTTGTACCCACGGAGCGGTATACTTCACACTCACTATATCTTGATCAATAAAGATACCACTTCTTGTCAAAAGCTCTCTCTCACTGGCCCACCTTGAATAGAAGAAAAGGGAATTTCCCCCCTCTTCTTCCTATTAGGAGGAGGTAACGGTAACAATAGAATAGTCTGTATAGCCTTTTAAAATAAAAGAAAAAGGCAGGCAGTAAAGCATGAAGTTTGGCTCGACTAAAACAAAAGGAGAAGCCACTTAGACGAAAGAAAGAAGAAGCGTAAGAAAGTCACTCAACCGAAGTACATTAAGCATTCCACTCACTTGGAGGACTCACTAGCGCTTGCACAAGGGAGCTTACTCGTTAACTTAAAAGAGAGAACTGCTCCTACCCAATTGGATTTATGCCATTTGCGCGTGGGGTGGCCTTGGCAACGCAACAACTATTACTATAAAGACCACACTGCCAATCCACATAGGCTTGAAAGTCTTTTATTAGCAAGACTTCCGATACGACGAATACCAATCCACATTGGCAGTGTCATTGGCAGACTGATCTCTTATTGGAGCATGGACGGGAACAAAGAGAGAAGGGCGCATAACAATCACCTAAAAACTACCACCTAAAAAGAGAATAATCACCGCCAACAGACAAGAGATTCGTGGTGTACTTTTAATCGCTTTTCTAAGGGGTCCAGAAATTCTCGAGCCCATCAAGCAGAGACTCTTCTCCACCATGGGTCGTTGACCTTGGATCCAGTCAAGTAGTGTCCTTCCTTTGCCCATCCCTTACCGTACCCGCTTTCACTAGCGACAGAGACTACCCCTTCATTCAAAAACCGGCAACTCATTGTGTTCCAAAGTAGGTTCTGTAGAGGGGATATGAAAAAATTAAGTCCTAGTAGTGTTAGTAGTTGATCCAGCGGATTCAGGAGATTGACTCAAGCCCTTGAATGTTGAGATTGGGTTGGGTTTACCCCTCCCTCAAAAATAAAAGGGCTATTCATACTATTATATTAATAACGGAGGAAAAGACATAAAATCTACTCGAAACAGAAAGAAAAAGAGACATATAAGAGGAAAGTGGTCAGTCCGTTCACTCCCTCCCACTAGTGTAGACAATGAATGGTACCGCTCGGGTCCTACATTAGCATTAGCCCCGAGCTCACTTCATCTATTCTAATTTGAAGTACCCAATCTAGTACAATCAAAGGTCTCGCTCCTATAAAAGCAAGACTGCAACCCCCATCGCCAATGCTAGTTCGGCCGGCCAGAGGAGATTCTCTTGAAGCTAACACTGCTTCCTCGTTCCCTCTCTGATTCTTGAGATCCCGCGAGCCCCCCTTCCATTAGAAAGGAAGAACCCTCTTTATATGCTTAACAAACCCAATTCGTATAAAGTCGATTCGGAAGATACCTCCAGAAAGAAAGAGATGGCTGCACCTAAGGGCTGATTATTGGTTATTGGGTCTAGCTTCTTAGAAAGCAATATGGAGATAGCGGACCCATCTTTCTTTTGTTATAGACTTGTGATGTCACAGAATAGTCCGGAAGAAAGTCTTATCCAATGCTTCTCTTGGATTAGAATGGGTGGGATTCAGGATGAAAATAGTCTATTTGGAAATCTCTTAAGAGATGGTCAAGCAAGCAACAGCCAGGCAGAGGTAGCTGACAGCTGCAATCGAGCATGTTTACTAGCAAGTGAAAGAAGGACCAACGACGATGAAAGAGGAGTACGAATAGGACGGAATCGAATGATTACGAGATAGACAATGAGACAAAGCCAAGAGGGGAGAGCACTTAGACAATTCACTTTGAGTACAGGGAAGTCTGATGGTGGGAATTCCTCAGGGCGTACTACGGTTTTTCACTAAAGGGGTGGATCAAAGCGATTGCAGCAAAGAATTGATCTGAAACGAAGCACTTCGTCTATGGGCATTGTAGAAAGGATAGAATATGACCCTAATCGTTCTTCTCGAATCGCTTCAGTACGATGGATCAAGGGGGTGTAGCTAGGCCGCCAAAGAAAATGCAACACGATAGAAGAGTTCACTCCACCACGTAAGATCCTCGAACCTACCACGACCACCATCCGTGGTCCATTTTCGTTCTCTTCCCTGCCCGGGAAAGTGGATCAAAGAAAGGTAGCTTCCTTCTCTCCTGGACTGATGGCAGCTTATGTAGTGGTCGGCCTTCCCACTAGAATGCCTCCTTGGACGAAGGGCCCCTTTACTAGTAAGGGCGCACGAAGCAAAAAAACTTGTGCGAAGGACGTTTTCTTCTCTGCCCTCTCCTCTCCAAAGGCCAAGGGAGAGACTACACCCCTTTCCCTCGGTAGCTCTTTTGGTTTCCCAAGGATAACGGTAGCTGGGGCAAAGCCCGCTTTCTTCGCTCCATGAATGAGAGAGTAAGTCAGAGGAAAAAACACGTTATCTCTTTGTGAGATCCGAAAGTGGAGAACGCATAGCATTCTCTGGGCACATAGGATCAAACGTAATGTAGCGCTTTCTTGGCAGAGTTTTAGGCGGCAAGAGACTTTAGGGCTAGAGGGGTAATTTTGTGATTTATCATCTACTTCATTCTATAAATACATAATAGATTACTGCCATTGCAAAATAACTGTTAAGACATCAAGTTATGCAGAGTCTTGCTCGAGGAGAAAGAATCATGGGTTTCAAAAATACACAAAAGATTACTGAGGGGTAATTTTGTGATTTATCATCTACTTCATTATATAAATACATAATAGATTACTGTCATTGCAAAATAACTATCATATGATAGTAAGTTACTTGTGTATCCTCATACCAGCTTTCTGAATTGTGATAGCAAAAATTAAAGAGTGAAACTTCACAAGAGGATATACTAAATCCTAGAGGGAAATAATTGTCTAGATAAATCAGACTGATGTTTCCAACAAGAAACAATAATAGCAAAAACAACAATAATAAAAATAATTACCATTTTCTCGAACATCTGGATTACTCGATTGTTGATAATATTTTGCATACTAAGATCTTGCCTTATGGACCTTGTCCGATCAAAGATGAAGTCATGTACCACTTCAAAGGGATGTTCCTTAGTATCCAACAAGTTTAAGAGATAGTTTAAAGTATCTTCCAGAACCGGGAGAGGCCGCACATCTGAAGCTTGCACATTTTTTGTGGATATAGTTCTGCAAAACTAGCAAGAGATATGGAGGGTGAACGGAGTTCTGCATCAAATATAAACATTGCATAACATTATAACAAATAAGAAAAATAAAATAAGAAGGGAAAAACAAGGAGGAACCCAGGAAAGTTTGTCATTCATCATAAAAGTATGGATTATAACATAACCAAATCTGAACTTTTATAGAAAGAAAATGTCCAAAGAAAGGACAAGGAACCCTTCATTGAATACAAGCCAAATAGATGCATACCTCATGTTCAAGACTTTATCGCAAGACCCTTGTAAAGAAGGAGGATTGTGTGTTAGGTACCGATAGCTAAAACATAAAAAAGTTGCTCAGATCCTTTATGACATGAAGCCTAATACTTTGAATCGATTAAATACTAGGTCGTTCCCCTTATGTGACATGTTACTCCTGCCTCTAGGTGTTTCGAAAAGTGAGCAAGGGGTGCCACATCGACGCCTGAGTGCAGTAAAAAATGGGCAAAGGTTTCCGCGTTGTTCTGGACGAGCGCGGATAAAGAAGCTAGTCCAAGATTATAGGTTTAGGTTAGTCACATGGAATATAGGAACTTTAACTGGTAAGACTATGGAATTAGTAGATGTCATGATTAGGAGAAGAGTTAGTATAGCTTGCGTACAAAAAACTAAGTGGACGGGTGAGAAAGCTCGGGAAATAGAGGATACCGGTTTTAAACTATATTATAGTGGCAAGGCTAGACACAGGAATAGGGTAGGAATAATAATTGCCAAGAGTCTTGTAGAAAATGTAGTTGCGGTCATTAGGAAATGTGATTGAATTATGTTAATTAAATTAGTTATTGGAGAGAATATAGTGAATGTTATTAGTGCATATGCCCCCCAAGTAGGATTAGATGATCAGATGATCAAAATAAGACAATTTTTTGAGACCAAATGGATGGGGTATTACAGGAGATACCCGTATGAGAGAATCTAGTTATAGGTGGTGATTTCAACAGCCATGTAGGAGTAGATAAACTAGGGTATAAGAGGGTGCAAGGTGGGTATGGTTTTGATGATAGAAATGATGCTGGAGAGAGTATTTTAGATTTTGCATTGGCTTTTGACTTAGTAGTGGCCAATACTATGTATAAGAAGAGAGAGAAGCATTTAATAACCTTCAAGAGTGGGTCAATTAGGAGTCAAATAGATTTCTTTCTAGTAAGAAAAAGGGACCGTCTAAAATGCAACAACTATAAGGTGATTCCTAGAGAGAGCTTGACGTCTCAACATAGGATTTTGGTACTAAATTTATGCTGTAAAGGGCAATACCGAACTCGGAAAGATAGTGGACGTCATAGAACTAGATGGTTAGACCTAAAAAGAGATAAACTAAACACATTTAAGAATAGAATGGATAAAAAAGGTACTTGGGACTTGAAAGATGATGCTAACACTATGCGGGGAGAATCTCAAGGGAAGTTCTTGGAGAATCAAAAGGAAAGGGACCCCAACTTTAGGGAAACTTGGTGGTGGAGGGAGGAGGTCCAAGCGGTAATAAAGACAAAAAAAGAGAGCTTTAAAGGGTGGCAAAATGATAGAACTAAGGAAAACCTTAAATGCTAAAGATTGGACAATAAGGAGGTCAAAAAAGTAGTGAGAGAGGCTAAGTTGAAAGCCTATGACGACCTATACACTAGACTAGATAGTAATGAGGGAAAGAAGAGGATATACAGACTTGTTAAGATAAGAGAGAGGAAAATAAGAGATTTTAATTAGGTTAGTGCATCAAGGGTGAGGACTCTAAGGTGTTGGTGAAGGATGAAGAGATTAAGAAGAGGTGGAAGAACTATTTTGAGAAGTTGTTAAATGAGGAACATGGAGGTAGGTCAAAAGGGGAGGAAGTAGGCAGTAATAAGGAAAACCAGGACTATAAGTTCTATCATAGGATTAGGGACTTTGAAGTAGAGTTTACACTTAAGAAGATGAAATTAAATAAGGCTTTAGGACCCGATGTTATACCTATTGAAGCGTGGAAATGTTTGGGTAAGAAGGGGGTTGTTTGGTTGACTAGGTTATTTAGTAAGATTTTGTTGACTAGGAAAATGCCAGAGGAGTCGAGGAAGAGTATTTTAGTGCCAATATATAAGAATAAAGGAGATGTTCAAAATTGTAACAACTATAGAGGAATCAAGTTAATGTATCACACAATGAAAGTGTGGGAGAGAGTGATGGAACGACAATTATGAGATATAATAGAGGTGTAAGAGAATCAGTTTGGATTTATGCCTGGTAGGTCAACAATGGAAGCAATCTATCTTTTAAGGAGATTAATAGAAAAGTATAGAGGAAAGAAAAGAGACATTCATATAGTTTTTATCGATCTTAAGAAAACATATGATAGAATGTCTCGGGATATAATCTGTGGGTGTTAGAGAAGAAAGGGGTGACAAAAGGTTACACTGATGTAATTAGGGATATGTATGAAGATGTGGTGACCATTATTAGATCACCTGCTGGAGAGACGAGTGAATTTCCAATTTCTGTAGAGTTACACCAAGAATCAACCTTAAGTCATTTTTTTGCTTTAGTTATGAATGAGTTGACGCGCGATATTCAGGACGATGTGCTATGGTGTATGCTTTTTGCAGATAATACCGTGTTAGTACCTAAGACTAGAGAAGATGTTATCACTAAGTTGGAGATTTGGAGAAAAACACTTGAATCGAAAGGATTTAGGATAAATAGAAGTAAGACAAAGTATATAGAGTGTAATTTTAGTACCAGTCACAATGGAAGCAGAGAAGTAAAGATTGAGAATCGAGAACTACCTAAGAGTGAACATTTTCGTTATTTAGGATCAATTATCACGACAACTGGGGAGATTGGAGCTAATGTGGTCCACAGAATTAAGGTGGGATGGCTTAAGTGGAGGAGTGTGTCTGGAGTACTCTGCGATAAATGAGTACCCATTCGACTAAAAGGAAGTTCTATAGAACGGCTATTAGATCAACGATGTTGTATGGGACGGAATGTTAGGCAATTAAGAAACATGTAGAGAAAATGAGTGTTGCTGAGATGAGGATGCTAAGGTGGATGTGTGGCAAGACTAAAAAAGACAGAATTAAGAATGAGTATATTCGAGAATGGGTAGGAGTAGTACCGATAGATGATAAGTTGAGTGAGAATAGATTAAGATGATTTGTTCATATACAACGGAGACCAACAAAGGTAGTAGTGAAGAGATGCGATACAGGGACAGTAGATGGTAGTGTTAGGAGAAGGGGTAGACCTAGATTGATGTGAACTAGTGTAGTAAATAGATATATGAATCTCCTTAATTTGACTAACGAAATGACTTTGGATAGAATTGAGTAAAAAAGAAGGATTCAGGCAGCCGACCCCATTTGATGGGACTTAAGGCTTGATTTGGTTTACCCTAGATTCCTCAAAAGGAACTTCACAAACTAAATACCAGGTCAAACATTGATATCCCATAAGTGCAACAAATTTTCAAGGAATGCTATATAAAAACCCCAAGTCCAAAAGCTAGAAAATCTCCTCTTGTATATTATATAAGTCAAAGGAACTTCACATAATGAGGATAACTAGATTTGTTATATAACAGTAAATCAAAAAATATAAGAGAAAGAAGAAAATTGAGCCAGAAAAAGATAAAAAGTTAAGAGTGCTTAATGTCGGTGAGCTCAAAAACTTACCAATGGAATTCAAAAGTTATACCTTTCGTATGTTTCCCAAAGAAAGGGGGTTTTGGAGGGGAGAGGGAATTTAAGGGATAGTTTTTAGTGTCTCATTTATGGTTTGCAGATGACACCATACTTTTCCTTCGGGTGAAGAAAATAGCATTGTTAATTAGCTTTCCATTTTGAGAACTATTGAGGTGACTTCTGTACTTGGGGTGAATATAAATAAAAGTGCCATTGTGAGTGCTAATTTCCCAATGGATAGGTTAAATATGTGGTAACCCTCCCATAATGTGAAGCGCTCAAGCCATTGAAAACATTATTGCTAAGAACAAAGCATTGTTATACAAATGGTTAAGAAGATTCCCAATCAAGAGATGCTTTTTGGCATGTTGTGATTAAGAGCAAGTATGAGTTTCAATCCAATGGTTGGGATTTTATGATGTTTATAGGGGAAATTCCAGATCTCCGTGGAAGTGCATTTCTTAGGGAATTGTCCATTCTCAGAGTTCATTCATTTTATGGCTTGGAATGTGACCGTATTCATTTTTCAGGAGGATGCTTGTATAGGGGATGGTTCTTTTGCTCATTTGTTTCCATTTTGTATCGTCTATCCCCGTTCTCATAATGCATCCATTCTTCTACTGCTTATTTCCTTGAGGCCATCATTTCTTGAAATTTTAATTCTTTTCATAAAACTAAATGATAGGGAGGCTAATGATTTGATATCCTTGTTGGCTAATCTTTCGCAATATTTCTTCGAGACAAGATTCTATAGATAAAAGGATGTAGTCTATTCATTCCTTGGATTTTTTCTCTAGCAGGTCTTTCTTTCACAAGTTAATTGATAAATCCCGAGGTTCCTCATTTTGATACTAATAAAGTGACTTTGAATACTTGTCTTTCCTTGGCTCATAATAAGGTTAGTACCGATGATTTGTTTCGAAGGAGGCCCAATTACTCATTGCTCCCACAATGATGCATTTTGTCTAGGGATAAAGAAAACAGTGCGTTTTTTTTTTTTTTGTGTGTGTGTGTGAGTGTGCATTGTCCTGCAGCTTTGTTATTATGGCTTAATTTGTTTTATAGGTGGATGTGGAGAGAGTGGCTCCTCTTTGTATACAGATCCTTTCAATTATCTATAGGGGATTTGGCAACAATAAGAAAGCTTGAGTTCTTCAAGCTTGTCAATTTCACTATAATTTAGGAGATTTGGTTAGCAAGGAACGCATATGCAAGTATTTCTTAATACAAATTCAAGGATATAAATTGGATATGTGGGATAGGGTTTTTCATGTATCTTCCTTTTAGGCTTCAATCTCTTTTTCTTTCAAGGAAACTCCCTTT